TCTTCGCCTCCCGCTCTGGGAGCTGCGGCTTCTTTTCTTGTTGGAACGGCCTGTTCCTCGGTAAAACTCCTTAATCTCTCCCTGTCACGCTGGGCTGCTCCGGGGTGAGCGGTTTGAGTGCTTGCTCGGCTAGCAAAGGGGGTGCTGGGGGCAAGGCCTGCTGCTTCTGCGGCTTTCGGCTGCATCGGGCCATCCAAGAACGCTGCGTAGGTGTTGCTTGGCCTGCCCTTTCTCTTCTGCAGGCCTAGTACTCTGAAAGCTCAAGTAGGTAAATGCAGTATATTTATTGTGTCTAAAATGCAGCTCTAAGCATGCGCCGCTATCGTGTGCTTAGCTTGCTAGCATAGGGCCTGGCTTAACTGACTCAAAGCATGCCCTTTTCCAGTGTAGCAGCTTGCTAGCCATCAGAAACCTCTATCTTGAGCACTTTTTTTGAGCTTAAAACGTCAAACTGATCTGGAAGTAGTAGAATACTGTGTGATGTATGCTATTACTTAGCAAAACAAGCATCCTGTATGGCAGGGGAGACGGTGTAAATCTACCTGGCAAGAATGTCTTCTGAATACTGGTTGAGTTGTTGCTCTGCCTGCTTGTAGCTACAGTGATACAAATCTTACCAATAGTGGTGTCAAATTCTGTTAACGATGCTTTATATGTTGACTCTTCTGAAGACTTTAAATGTTCCTGAGAACTTAAAACTATGGAAACATGTTGCAAGTTGAGATTGGAACAATTGTGGCAGAAATACTGTTAACGCTACATGACTTATTAGCTATTTTCTTTCTGTAATCTTTTACAGGAAGATTAAGGTGCACTGTGCTGAGCCATTTACTGAATACTGGACCTGCATTGACTATACCAATATGCAGGAGCTTCGCCGATGCCGAAAACAGCAGGCAGCGTTTGATAGCTGTGTGCTAGAGAAGTTGGGTTGGGTGCGACCTGATCTGGGAGAGCTCTCTAAGGTGATTTCATTTCTTTTTGACTGGGTGGCCGGATTCTTCTCTTCCCTCCTTATGTGTGTTTTGTCCAGACTAGGTCTCAGACTTTTCCCGCCCTGAAGGTAATATGTGAACACAGTACTGGAGTCTTGTGGACTTTACTAGAAGTGGAGACTTTCAGCGTTCTCTGGGGCTGGAAATGCCTGTAGTGCATTGCTTTTTCCAAATGATTTGTGCTTTTCTGTGACACCTCTGCTTATTCTTGCTTTTTGCTTTTCTCTTCCTAATGTAGTGACCCTTCCTTTAGGAATGAAGATGACCACTGCAGAACTACTGTGCAGTTCTGAGTAAACTGTGCCCCCTTCCCCCTCTTCCTTCTGAGGGAACAGGGGAAAGTACTCTAGAGAGTAGAGCTCTCATCAGATCAGCAACACAGTTGTTCTTATGGTGGCTTGGACGTTTGGTACTTCTTCTCTTAAGTACTGACTTAATTTAATATTTCTATTAAATGCAGTGAGAAATTGTCGTTCCTTTTTCCTTTCCAGGTCACAAAAGTGAAGACAGACAGACCTATCCCTGAGAATGCCTATCACTCTAGACCTAGACCGGAGCCAAATCCACCCATTGAAGGAGAGTTGAAGCCTTCTGCGTATGGCAGTAGGCTCTTTTTCTGGTCCTGGTAAAGTGGGCAGCTTGTACTGTAGCTAAAATGTAAAGATACGTTGCTTGCAAATGTAAACTGTCAAATATGCATTGGGTATAATTCTAATGATTAAAAAACCCAAACACTTAACGTGGCTTAGTAGACTTCATTAAACATACTTGCATGTCATAGCAGCTCAAAACCTGTGCTGCTTGTGTTCTGCAGTGCTCTTTGCAGTCCTGTAGCCCTCAGGCTGTTTCCTGGAAACTGTTTCTAGGCATAGCTGTATTAACACCAGTAATGTCATGTTGCTTGAGAGTGGGTACCAGCTTGTCTGAGATAAAGACTCAGACTACATTTATACTCTGACTGCTACTTCAAACAATCAAAAACTGAGAGAGGACTTTATGTCCTAATTGTATTTGCTTATTGAGAAGCCTGTTGCCCTTGGGTTGAGTAAACTTTGATACAGACAAATCTCTAATGTCTTGCCTTAGAGTCTTCCAATTGATTATTGTGTATTTTAGTTCCAAGAAACTTCTTTTGTATGGCTTTAACCTAAGACCTGTGTTGGAGCAAGAATTTAGTCCGAGTTTATGGCTTTTGCTGGTTGTGAGGCCAGTACTCTTTATGACATCGAGATCCTCATTCTACTTACCACATGCTTGTTCCTCATGAAGCTGGGTTAGCTGCTTTCCCTTTTTAAACTAGGGGACACAAGCTGCTTTGTCCAAAAGTTGCACTAAATTTTAAGGTCCTCTTTTTAAAAAAAAAAAAAAAAAAAAAAAATCTGAAGGATATCTTTTTCCCATTAAGAAATGCAAGAAGGTGGCTTATCTTCTGTAGAGGCCCTGACTTAAGGGGTTCATGGCAGATCCTTGCTGTGGTCTCACTGTGATAGTGTTCTTGATAATAGAATAAATTGGTTTTCCTCGCCATCTAATTTTCTTCTTTCATGATATCAGTAGTCCTAATATGTTTCATAGGAAATAGATCTAGTCTTTCCTCTGCTCTCTGCATCCAATGGCAAGAACCTTACTACAAAGATGATAAAAAAAACAAGTTAACTTGCTTTCACAAAGCTGTATGCAGTTCTGCTTGCTCAAGGCTGGACTGGGTAGCTTGACCTATAGCAAAGATTTGAATAGTACTTTACTCCTCGAGTAGACTAGCTGTCGTATTATGATTTGAAGTTTTACCATCCCCTTTTCTGAGGGTAGAGTTAAGCTGAAATGGCTCTGTAGCATGTGTTTCTGATCCATGGAGCGAGAGGAAAATTATATAATTTTTTCTAAAATACCTTATGTGCAATGTGGCTCATGGGGTCTACTAAAACTCAGAAAATGAGTGCTGTAGCACATGTTTGCATCTTAATATACGTATCATGTGCCTTAGCAGCTCCTTGACTGAATCTGAGATGGTGCACATCTCTGCAGCTTCTCCTTCCAGATCACTGCCAGCATTTCAGAGCAGCCGCGTGTTCCTGAAGAAGGATAACCTCTTTTCTGCAGAGACTGAAATTAGGGCAAGCCTGAGGCTTAATTACATATGAGTGAGTGAAGTGTGGTTTGGCCAAGTAGAAGATAAATCGTTCTGGGATGTTAACACATGTATCATGTCTGATCTTTTGTTGCTGACCAACTCCAATAGTCACAGAAAGACTTGTTAGATATTACTTATTTTGTTTTGCTAATAACTTACTATTGTCAGCATAATGTATGAAACACTGCATTGCTGAACAGCTGCTTTTGAATAAACAGGCATGGGCATTCCAGTAGTCAGCCCCTAATCATAATTAAAGAGTATTTTTTCCCCATTAAATTGCTTCTGAAAAGAATAACATGCATGAATAGGGGGGCATTTTTTTTAAAAACAGCCTTGTATAAACTCCACCCTTAAGTTGGCTAGTACTGTAAGCAAAAAAGTGATTTATGCCATAGTCTCACAGGTTTGTGACAGCTAAATCTATTACCTTTTGGAACAGAGGTTGTTAATCTTGTAGGAATACATTGATCATGTTTAAAGGTGAGAATTAACTTCTGAGCTTGCCTAGATTCCTACTTCAGTTTTGAGCAGGAGTGGGAAGGTGAATTAAAAAAAAAAAAAAGCAGAGGAGGACAGGATCTAAGGCAAAAAAGGGCAATGAGGTGATCGTAAAGTCAAGTAGCATTCAGCTGTACTGCGAGCACTTCTATCATGAACCTCTTTGAGATGATTACTTCTTGTCTTTATCTCTGGGCTGAATCGGCAAGAAAGAGTTGCCATACGGTGCATTTCTTTGCTGCATAGGACAGTGCCTGTATGTGTAGCTATTTCTGTTCAAAATTGTTCTGTGGCTTTACTCAATCACAGATGCCCCCTTTGGAGCTATAATGTTTTCTTGGAAAGTTTAGCACAAGTGAATGTCAAGACTCTGTAAAGACCATAAAACTATCTTTGAGGAATGTATCTTGACGTTATTTTGGCAGATGGAGAGCAGACACATACAGATTCAACACAGATATTTTACTGGCAATGTGAAAAGTGTTGTTTGTTATATTGTAGGCTTTAAGCTTTGCCAGAACTTCTAATCACATGTGTGAAATTAGCAGCTAGAAAACTTTAACCAGTGTCATGGTATCTGGCCTTATCGTAGGCTGATTAAGCAGAACTTGTTACATTCATTTAGACTGTGGCATGGGAAGAGTAAAATCCTAGTGTAATCTCAAATCTTAGTGAGGAAAGAATTCATTTTGGTGCAGCTGGATTACTATGACAGCATCCTTCTGAGGAGAGTGCCCCCCTTCAGCACATCTGGCAGTTTGATATGCACTGGTCTGAAATGGTTGTTTACTACACTTCCCTATGCAAAAGGGTCTAGAGAAAATGTACTGTTAGCCAAAAAGGCTAGAAGCGCAAACAGCATAGTCCACTCTACTCATAGTAACCAAATGTTCACCTGAGAAGGTGATAGAAAGGAAATGATTTTATCGAGCTCCGTTGCCAGTTTTATAACGGTATGGCGTATCATATTATCCCTGCTAAAAAGACTTCTAGGAGTCAGGAAATAGCCTTTCAAGCTCTTGTAAACAGATTTGCTAAGACAAAAGACAAAAACCATTCATGTGTTCCTCTTTCTCTGAATTCAGTTGCAGTGTGGTTTTATGATGGAGCTATGATAAATAAGGTGGATTTTTTTTTTTTGCCCATCCATAAGGAAAAAACCCCAAACCTATGTCTTTATATAAATTAATACTTAATATTCATAATTTTTAAAGAACCTTTATCTTCAGAACAAGAATGCTTCTGGAACTTCAGAAAGGAAATTTGGAGTCCACTTTTTTTTTTCAAATCCTTTTGAAAACTTGCTATGTACTCTTAGACACGTTTTGAAACTAGAATCTGTCTGGATATTAATAGGAGATTAAGACTCCCTCTTGTGGCAGCTTTCAGCTGATCTCAGGGATCTGTGTGAAGATTTTTGTCATCGTGTGTCTTAAGGCTAAGTGGGCATTGCTGATAGAAACTTGAGTAGATTTTCTATGTTTGCTACAGAATTCACTTGAGCGTTGTCTCAAGTTGATTATTCTTATATGCGGAAAAGTCTTGATCCGGGTATGAAGTAAGAGGAGAAGAAAACTGGGATGAGAAAGTTCTGATAGTTCACCCTGAGTGCAACTGAAGTGAAGGAAGTTAAGGCAGGGGCAAAGATGGAGGTGGCTGGGAAATCCAGTTGCAACTTATACATATTTGCTGGCTTCCTATGCCCCTCTGAATCCAGAAAGGGGGTCTCCCAGGCCCTGCAGAGAACAGGAAGGTGCCAAGTTCTGAACCTGCTGGGCCCGTGCTAGCAGCCTGTGACAGGCAAGCACAGGAAGCAGATTAATTGCAATATTTAATCTCATGTAAAAGGAAATTATTTCTTTATTCCATTAGGAGTATCTGTGACTTTACTGAATGGCCTTAATGTAACCTTGTCCTCACTAGAAAAGTTACGTTTGCATGCTGTTGCGTGTGAGAACTTCTAGGTAGACACTTGATCTAAATCTGAGGCACCTAGGTGGCTAAAAGTATTGTACAAACTACACCTTGGTGAAGGGATAAAAGCAGAGAAAATACAGCCCAGCAAACGAGACAAAAGGTCTGTAGTGTTATTTCAGGCATTAAGACAGCAAATCAGCACAATTCTCATAAGCACGCGAAGCAGGTACTGAAAGAGACCTCTGAGCGCTCGGGGAAGGTCAGCCAGGCAGCTTACTTGCTGGTGCATGGGTTGCTCCCAGTTTCTTTCCCCTTCAAGGACAAGTTCCCCTAGTCCCTTACACATGCTGCAAAAGGATTGGCAAGCCTAATGTGTGCATCAGTACAGGTTCCTCTTGGCTGTCATGTGTCTGTGCTGGATAAGAGCAAGTAATGAGGAGTGCTGAATCGCTTTTGCGCTTGAGTCTGCCCAGCTGGCCGAGAGCTGCTCTAGGCTGTTGCAGAGCTAGGAGAGAAGCAGAAGCTGTTGAGACATGAAGAGCTTTGCTGTACCTAACTGGATCTAGGAGCAGGAGGGCTCAGAGAAATGAAACGAGAGCATTTAATAAGGTAAAAGCCCTTTTATTCTGCCTGCATCTCAATCATCTCCCTGTTGCTGCTGCCCTCACTGCCTTGGAAATAGCATGGATCACGCTCATCTGCATTTGTCTATTGCAGATGCCCAAAAAAAGGATTCCCAACCTGTGCGTTCCTGTGCTCTTGTCTGGGCTGGCAAATGCAGATGGTTTAAGTGAGCGTTTCATACGTGCTGTGTTCTGCAGCACAAAATGGTGAACAGCTTTGCTGTGTTGATAGGGTTGAAATTAATTTCTCCCTTCTCACTAGGGGAAATGAGGGCTGGGAAGAACAGCCATGCCTGTTGCTTTGTTAAGCTCAGCTTTGGCTCCGTTTCTGGCACCGAGAAAGGAAATAAAATACAGGGGAAAGGGAGCTTTATAAAAGAGGTATAGGTCTGCTCCCAAGTTGATAGGCTGAACCATACAAAACACTGACTCTAAGGTATTGCTTTAATATTTGTAAAACCAGCGTGGCAGCTCAGTTAAGAGCTATGAGTCACCTTGAGGGTGGTTCAGCTCTTTATAAGTAGTAACACAGCCTTTTGCTTCCATGCAAACGGGAGCTAGGATTTT